AGAAATCTCCACATTGGTGCCTTTTTCTTTCGGATGAGAGCAGTGACTAATTATCCTGGCCATAGCTTACTTCAATAAATTGACATGCCCCTCAGCTCATCTAACCCATTCTTCCAGTGTTTTTTGTTTTGTTTTATTGGTTTGTTTGGTTTTTTGAGACAAGATCTCACTGTGTAGTCCAGTCTGAACTTCGAACTTACTATGAAGTCCAGGCTGGTCTCCAACTCGTGGAGATCTTCCTGCCTCAACCTCCCAAGTGCTGGGTTTATAGGCACGTACCACCATGCCTGATTTTTTAAAAACAAGAATATTACCAGTTTCAGTCACCAGTAAATCAATGGATCTGAGCAATGATCATCGGAGCCTCTGAATATCACAAATAGAGATACAGCCAGACAATATGTGCCACTTGTGGAAAGAAGAAAAAACTACCTCTGAAGTCATCTTGCCAAAAATTAAATCTAGCCTGATCAAGCTTTTACAGCCAATAATTTATAGGAAATACTAGGACATAGGAACTTGTTAAATGACCCCACAATGGCATAATCAGCACAAACCAGAATGTGGAAATTGTCAGAACTGAAGCAACAGGAATTGTGATTGTTCTACCAAATTTTCTGTTTTAAGCTCTACTTGAGATTTGACCTTGAAATTAAAGGAAAAGCAGCTTAAAGTGGGATTTTATTTTCACTGACAAGTGCAAAGAAACAAGGGCACAGATCATTGGGTGACACTGGTAACACCTGTTGGTTCAGTTATCGTTGTAGAGAACTGTCCCTTTCACTGGGACAAAGTCCCGATCCAATTTAAATTTTTTTTTTTGTCTTTTTCCTTTTTATCGGTACCGGGGATCGAACTCACGACTGCCTGCTTGCAAGGCAGGCGCTTATGCCGCTGAGCTAAATCCCCAGCCCCTCCAATTTAAATTTTAATGCTCAATGTTTCAGTCATAGGCCAGATAGTAGAGGACCATTTCATTCATTCACAGGGAAGGTCAGGTAGCAGATGGCCAACTGTTACAAGACACAAAAGTATCTCCATATCATGTCTACATTAAGACGCATAACATTCAGCGCCTTAGAAAGTGTCCAAGCAGAAGAGTCCAGCTTGCTCATGGCGGTCACTACTTTAGCACCACACCCTTCACTGGCTTTTCCACCTTTCCTCACTTGTCTCACCTATCCCGTGTCCTCATACTTGTTTCTTGGGATTACTTCAAATATCCTCCTTTCACATCCTTCCATTTTGTGTCTCTTGGGGGGAAAATAAACTAAGGTAGACTGTGGGCACAGATTTACCACTTCGCTTACTTTGACAAACTCAAAGACTTTCATGGGAATCTCAGCAAACACCAGCCCCTTAAAGCCAGAAAAAGAGGAGAGGACCTGAACATGTCACAAGATTCATCCAGCAAAAGTGATACAAGCACCAGCCAGAAAAATGATGAATTCCCGACATAGTAGAAGGCAGGAGCAGGGAAGAAATTAGTCAGTCTCTAAAATAAACACCAAGTTGTTAGGCTATTTCTAAGAGTAGCCAATCATATTTGTTAATTACAAATAAAACATACATTTCAATTGACCTTAGGAGAAAAGATTTGTTACAGCATAACTTATGTGATGTACTTCAAAACAAAAGAAACTGTCTCTGTCTAGATTGAAAGAAATGATTCCTCAAGCCCCACCACCTAAGTCGAACTCCAAGGAAGCTGCAATTAAGTAAAGAATCACAATGTGTTATTACTTCAATCAGACAGTGAAAGCTCCCCGGTGAAGCTGTTGCTGACACTGGAGCAGTCAGTAACCCTTTAATTATGTTCCTCAAAACATTTTCATAGCTTTGACAGCTTCCACTTACTACTGGCTACTTTTCCATGAGGCAAATAGTATATTTACATTGCAAGAAATCCTGGTCTCCTGTGCTGCTGAAATAAATCATCAGAAACTTAATGGCTTAAAATAAAAACAATTTACCCCATCACACTTTAAAATGACTCAAGTTTACTTACAAACATTCCAGCTAAACTTCTTGAGTCGTTTAGACAACATTGACAGTTTTAACATGTTACAGTTTTAACAATTACCTTACATTAATTAAGAAAAGGTAAATCAGAAACAAAATATATTGGAGTAGTCCAAAAACATTTATAAGCCTAATATACTAAACTTGTATATTATAAAATGTTTTGTTTATCTACATAATGGTGATTAGACTTTAGCTTGTTATAATAGTTACTTTAATTAATGAAATGTATATTTAAATTTGAAATTGCAAGTCATGCATTTTCTAACAAGTAAAATTATCTTAAATATTGTATAGATACGTATTTGGAATATCAAAATTTACATATTCCTTAAAATATTATTTTAGTTTATACATATTTTAATGCATAGCTTTAGTCTCTCAAATATTCATATGTGTGTATATAGGTAAATCTTTGCAGGAATTATTTGTACTGCAAAATTAGTTGATTCTACATTGCAACCAGAATATTTTGTAATTATACTGATAAATATTTGTTAATAATTCTGATAAAATGTATCACATTATAGCAATGGTTCTGAAGTGTTGACCTCCTTCCCCTTTTAATAAATACCTTATATTCCTCTTCAGTTATTACACATATATGCAGGCTTTTGATTAGACTCTTTTGTTTATACTATATGGAAATGCATCTTACCTAATCCTAAAAATATTTTAAGTTTGAAAGAATCCATCCCTTTTTCATACTGTTAGGAAATCATACCAAAAATATTATTTTAAAAATATTAAAATAATATATAGTCAACTTGCTATCTTTCTTCTAGTGATTTCTGCCAATTCTTAATGTGTCTGAATGTTTTTCTGCATAATTTTTTCAAATTTTATCAAGGATTAAGCATTGGAAGTCTACATATTTATTTTTCATTTTTGCACTAAATTTTTATCTTGATTAAATCGTAGTCATATGCAGTGAATTATAATACAGAAGAACATGTGTCCATTTCTAGATTTCTTTTTTTCTAGATTTTGCATAATGATGAAATCTTAAAGAAATAGAGAGCAATATCACAACCAGGATAATAACTCAGAATATTTTCATTAACACAGAAACACTTATAATTCTATAGCTATCCCCACTTTTCTCTTATACCTAATTTTCTGTATTTACCTGGCAACCACTAATCTGTTCTATTTTAAAATGTTATATAAATGTAATCATAGGGCCTGAGATTTAGCTCAGCACTGTGTCTGCTGGCAAACTCAAGATCGTGAGTTTGATCCCTGGTACCCCCCAAAAAATGTAATCATATACAATGTAAATGTATAACTCTGTGGAATGACTTTTTTCACTCAGTATAATTCCAGGGAGATTCATACAGATTTTTATGTACACAAATGATAAATTTCCTTTTATTGCTGTGTAGTATTCTACAATACTGATGTACTACAGTTTCTTTAACATGTAGATTTTTGGGGTCAATTTTGACCTATGAGGAAAAAAGCAAATGTAAATTTTGTGTGTGTGTGTGTGTGTGTGTGTGTGTCACTGGGGATCAGACGCACAACCTCATGCTTGCCAGGCACCAATGTAAATGTTTGATTAGAAGTGTTTGTGTGAGCATAAATTTCCATATCTCTTTGATGAGTGGCTAGAAGTACACTGGCAGACTCATACAGCAGTTGCATGTTTAGTTTTTAAATCGTGCCAACTGTTTCCCAGAGCACTTGCAGCCTTTCAGATTCCAACCAGGAATTTGTGTTATCTAGCTTTTGTGCCCATCGCCCTCATTTGCTGATGCTCTCCCTTTTATTTTGGTCATGCTGATAAATTAACACCTATGCTTCATTGTGGTTTAATTCTATCTCTATAATAACAAATGATGTTTACTATATGTTCATGTGTTTGTCATCTGTGTATACTTTTGGTATAGTGTTCAATAATGTTTTTACCCATGTTGTTCTTCTTTTTGTTTTTTCTGTTAAGTTTGGAGAACTCTTCAAGGATCGACCTGCTAGCTTTCTTTTGTTGCATACAGAATTTACAACAATTTCTTCTCGCAGTAAGTAGATGGTGAAACTGAGTATGTTTGCAGGGTGTTTTGTAGAGCAAAATAAAACACAAAATTCTGGTTACCCCTCGTGGTGCCCTAGAATGAATATTGATGTGTGATCCCCACCTCTGGCATAAAAGAAATTGGTTCAGTGCCTTCACCTCGCTGAGGTCAGGGGAGTTACAACTCTCCAAATTGGGATGTGGCTGCTCTGAAGTGAGATCCAGCCTTTCAATAATTTTAAAGATGTATTACTATATATATTTACTACTAATTTTATATAGATCATATTTGATAATATACTGGATATATTGGTTTGGTTGTTACAGTCAATTTCACTTGTCTGAGTTTGGGTGGGGTTTTTTTTGTTTGTTTGTTTGGTTTGTCTGTTTTTGGTAACAGGAATCAAACTCAGGACCTCAAGCTTGCCAGGCAGGTGCTGAGCCACTGAGCTAAATACTCTGCTCCCTCTTACTTTTCTTTTAAATGTGAATAACGGAATACTAAAAATTACACTTTTGCATCACAGTTTAGGGGATTTTTTTCCATTTCAAATCTTAAGCTACCTCCTTACAAGACTGGAAACCAAAGGAGTGAAATTTTAAAATATTGGTATTATATTCTTTTCATTTGTGAATAACATACATATATGTGATTAGTAAATTGATACAAGCTTATATACAGATTAAATGCAGATATCCCCGTGGAGGCTATGAGCCCCTATAAGAAGTTCTCATTTTAAAATAGCGTCAACAGCAGTCTCTGGGCTCAATATCCAGCACAGAAAACGAAGGAAAAAAACGTATTTATCTGCAGTCAAGAACCTGCCCTTTGGGGCTGTCTCAATCATGGGTTGGTGTCATTTACTGTCACTCAGAGCGAGCGCAGTGGAGAACTGTCCAATCAGACTCACAGCCAGCGCGGAAGGGGCGGGCTCTCACGGCCTACTGGGCCTTTGTATATGGAGCGCGCCATCTTAGGGTTGATTCCTAGGGTTCTTCTCTTCCGCTTTGTTGGCCCACGTGACTCTGCTTCATTCCCCATCGCCCCGTGACCTGCACCGGTGGCAGATCCACAGGGAGATCGCTGGGAGCCCGGACGCCGAAAATGGTGAGTGTGTGCTCTGGCGTCCACAGACTGGGGAAGGAGACGGTGTGCAAGCTGGGCGCCGGCCGTGGCGGGACCGGGCCTCCGCTGTCGGCCCCCAAGTCCGCAGGCCCCGTCCTCCCCGGCTGCCCGGTTTCCCGTCCTCCACTCTAGGGTGGAGGGGGAGCTGCGGCTGGCACCCGGGCGACCTGTCCTGTCCTTGAGGGGTGAGTCCGCCCGCCCTGCCGGAGAGCGACCAGCTGAGCCCCAGCTCCCTCTGGCTTCTGGGTGGGGCTGGGCCCAGAGCGGACCGGGCAGTACTGTCCGTCCCTGCCGATCGACTTCCCTCGCCACCTGGACCCCTCCCTGACAGCCGCGCTGCAGCCCTGCAGCTCCCCAGCTTGTGTGGTGATGACCTGGGGGACCCTCGGATCCCGACCTCCTTGTGCCTGCGGTTACTGTGTTAGAGGAGCCGCAGTTCAAGTGATCCCCAAGGCCGTGCTTCCCACTCAGGGGTCACTCGTCTTCCTCTGAGCTCTCTAAATGTGTAGCAAGCAGGTCTCAAAGCCAGAGCATTGCCGCCTCCAGCACCACCAGCCAGGCTTCTCCCATATCTGCAGCAGATTCCTGAAATTCTATCTCTGCGCATATTCTTTACCTTTATTTTTGGTACTGAGTATTGTCTCTATGGGCTTAGACCTTCCAGACACACTATATCACTGGGCTGTGTCCCTAGCTCCAAACTGCAGTTTGGGTTATGTTGTTTAATCCATTCATTTAATGCTATTTTAATATAGCTCGACTTATGCTGGTTTTTCTGCTGTTCTGAAAAATACAGACAATTCCTACATACATATGACTTTATTTCTGGATTTCATTTGTATTGTTACTCCTTCGTATTTGTTACTGCATTAACATAGTTTCATAATACATGTTAGTGTCAGATGATGATGGCTATCCGTTTCTCTTAATTCAGAAGTTTTCTACAGTGATTTATGTATATGTATTTTTTTATAGAAAAGAATTCAAGGGGCCGGAGATTTAGCTTAGTGGCTGTACCGCTTGCCTGGTAAGCACAAGGTCTTGAGTTCAATCCCCCGTACCAAAAAAGAAAGAAAGAAAGAAAGAAAGAATTTGAGAACCTTTAGATTTTGAGCTCTTCTGTTACAAATTATGCATGTTGAAATTTTGATATGTAGATCAAAATTTGGAGGATAGTTTGGAGGCAAATGAACACTTGTAATGAATTTTATTCATTTGCACATGGTGCGTGTAATTGTTTTTCTGTGTGCCTTTGTAAGTTATTTTTTATTCTGTGTATTTCCCTTTTGGAGGAGGGTATTGAGACTAGAACTCAAGACCTTGCGCATGCCAGACAGGTGCTGTGCCGCTGAGCTAAACCCCCAGCCCTTATGTTTTCTTTTTAAATCATATGTAGATATGAAATATCACATGCAGGTGACAGCTGAGTAACATTGATGCGGAGTTTTATAGTAGTTGTTAAATTGGGTATGTGACACCTAACATATGGCTGTCTCAGAGAAAGTATCCCCACGCTTTATTGTCTTTTTCCTGAAAATAGTTTCTCTTGTATCCACCTGCTGAGTCTGACCTTCTTGTACCAATACTGTATCTGTGGTGGGGGAACAGCAGGCAAGCTGTTTGCCCAAGTGCAACTCTTCCTCCTTCTTCAGTTCATGAGATTTCAGTTGTTCTAGATCTTCATCAGTACTGGTTTTTGTTTTTTGTTTTTGTTGTTGTTTTGGCTATCAGTACAATTTTATTTTGTGTTTCTCTGATTGCTAAGAAACACAGAGCTTTTTTGGTAACTGTTGAACATTTGACATCTCATAAAAAGTACTTTTTCAAGTCCCTTGCCTGCCTTTCTTCTGGAGTCTCTGACCTTTCCTTTCATATTTTTAAAATGTTAGAGCTGGCGTGCTGGCACACGCCTGTAATTCCAGCACTCAGGAGGCTGAGGCAAGAGTATCTTTGCAAATTCAAGACCAGCCTGGGCTACAAGGTGAGCTCAAGGTCAACGTGACCTGCATATCAAGACCCTGTCTCAAAAAAGAAAAAGATCAATCAATAAATAAAATTTACTCATATATGAGGCAAAAAAGTCTCTCCTAGTCTGGTACTTCTCTTTGCATCCTGTAAGGGTTTTGCTTGATGAACAGAATTTGTGATAATATGGTCAAAATTTATGCATATTTTCTTATTTAATAATGTTTATTTAAATTTATTTAAAAATAAATTCCTGAAACAACTTTTGAGTGTCTTATAGTTTGCTTTTATATTTAGGTATTTTTTACTTCTGAAAATGATTGTGGTATTGTGAAATCATGCAATAGCTTTTTTTGGACAGACACTGTATTTTCCCAGCAGCTTTTGTTCAGAAAGGAATCTTTCTATTCTTCTACAGTGCAGGCTCTGTCAGTGATATATCTAAAAGGCAAGAATCTTTTTAAGTGTTTTTAATTCAGCTGGTGTGTTAATCTCTATGATGGTGTATGCTGATTTATAACTTACAGTCGTGTGCTCCATAATGATGTTTTGATCAGAGATGAATTTCTTTTGTTTGTTTGCTTGTTTGAAGCAGGGTCTCACTGTGCAATTTTGGCTGACTTTGAACTTGCTGCCATTCTCCTGCCTCAGCCTCTGAGTGCTGGGATTACAGGCATGCACCACCATGCCTGGCTTTTTAACGATGGATTTCTTATAAAATAGTAGCCGGTGTGTGGTAGACTGTGCCATCTGGCTTGTGTAAGTGCACTTTGATGTTTACACGGTGAATCATCTAACGTCCCTTTCCCAGAAACTGCTCTCTATAAACTGAGATGTGTGTCTATCTACTTATCTATCCTATCTCTATATAACTATATATTATATAACTAATATATAATCCTTCATTGTCAAATTTACCAGAATTCTCAGTTTCATTAACTTTTAAAAGAACCAGTGTTTGGCATTGCTGCTTTCTGTGATATGTTCACTTTCAATATAGCTAAAATTTTCTCTTTTGCTAAGGGCTCTCTTCATTCTTCTTTCATAGAATTTGGCCTTTTTTAAGCTACTGGAGTGATGATTAACTAGTGGATTCTTAGTCTCTTTTATCTATTTAAGTTTGTATCTTTCCTTTATAACCTTAGGTTTATGTGCATCCTTTTTCTTAAAGATTTATTGAAATATAATTGACATAATAATCTACACATCCATGCAGCCAGTACCACAGTTAACATTATTGACCAATGTGTTTCTTAGTACCCTAGTCCTCTATATGATTCCAAGAACAAAATGAATCCATCTGTGTTGTTACATTTTTACTCAACTTGTTTCCATTGTATTTAAAGAGCTTTGTTAGAATTCATTAAATAAGCTGGGAAAGGAAAAAGAAATTGAATATTAGAGAAGTGTATGCAAAAAGGATAAACTTGGTATGTTGATATGAACAGGTTGTAACACTTTAGAGTTATCTTGGTTGAATGCAGATTTGCCTCGGATCTTGCTGATAACCCCAACACAGACTTATTTTTTATAATGGTTTTGGGTGACCTTAAGAGGCAGTCACTTACACTAATTAGTTACAGCACGACCATGAGAAAGTGGTGGATGTGTCAGTGAACCTGAAGCTGCTGTGGAGACTCCATGAACTTAGAGACGCAGGAACTTGGAGTATTTGTTGAAGAAAGCAGCAGGTGAGTGCCACTGGAAGGCTTAGGAGCTGGGCCAGCCAAACTCTCTGGAGCTTGTGTCTTGCCATCATGTGCATAGGATAAGGTCATGGCGACAGTCTACAGAGCTGGTGTTTGCCCTGATGGGTTTTGGTCAGATAGTTTTCATTTTCCCTATTCCTCTCTTTCAGAATGGTGACATCTACTCTGTGCCATCATGTCGTGGACATGCATATTTTCTTTTAACAAGGGCTCACACCTAAAAGTTGCCTTCAGTACCGGAGACTGTACTTGGACTTCTGAGCAGGCTGGAACTGATGAGACTTAATTCATTTTTCATTATATAGAGGATATTTGCATTAACTAGGCAGAATGGTGAGCTGTTACTGTGTTTATTCGGTAAATAGTTGTGTTTCAGCGAGATCTGATTCAATAATCAATCTTGATTATTAATCGAATCAGGATGAGATTCTTAGGGATTGGATCATGAGGGTACTATTCTCACCAATGGGATAACCCATTCATGAATTCATAGCTGAATAGGATAGTCACAAGTGGGGCCTGGTAGGTCCCTGGGGCCATGCCTTGAAGGGTGTTACTTCTCCACCTTTCTCTTGCTGGCTGCTTCCTGACTGCTATTAGGTGTGTAGGGTTGTTATTGTTTTTTTTGTTTGTTTGTTTGTTTAACACAGGATCTGGCTATGCAGTTCAGGCTGACCTTGAATTCACTTTGTAGCCTAGGCTGGTCTCAGACTCGAAAAGGGAAAAGGATCCTCCTGCCTCAGCCTCCCAAGTGCTGGGATTACAGGCGTGAGCCACCAGGTTTTATTCACCATACCATTCTGCTCTCATGTTTCTGCCATGGAACCACCCTGTGTAGAACCCATTGAAGCCATGACCCATAATGACGCTTCCATATTTTAAGTATTTTTCTGAGGTATTTGGAACAGCAGTCCTATGTGTTTGGAAATGGAAAACCAATACATAGGTGTTTGCATAGTGTTTAAGTTTATGGTAGTTTAAAAATACTTACCTCTTCAGACAATTATCTTTATGGTGAGAACTTTCAAATTCCTACTGTGTAACATTTAAAAATGTACAGCAGCACAGTATCGTTACCTAAGGTTACCTTGCTGTGCCCATTAATAACCCATTAACCCGTCTTACCCCTCCTAAGTCTCTCGTCACAGTTGTGAAGTTCTGTGAAATCAGCTTTCTAGCATTCCACATATAAGTTAAACCATGAATACTTTTCTTTATGCTTGCCTTATTTTACTTACTATATTGGTCTCTAGTTCTTTCCATATTGAAATAAATTATAGGACTTCGTTCTTTTCTATAATTAATACT